TTAAAAGATCATTTACTAATTTAGAACATCAAATTTTACATAAGTAATTAAAATTAAAATATAAAAGTGATATAAAAATTTCAAAAAATTACAGTCATTAAATAAATCTTATAACTTATTTATACATCTCTTACCTACACAGTATAATTTTAACCATTAATAATAAGATTTAAAGATTAGTATTTATTCTTCTTACTCTTGTATTAAAAAAAAAATCTAGACACACGATCAAAGTTGTAAGGAACTTATAATTAACTTCATAAATCTTCTTTTTCCTCTTATTCCTTCCACGATATGTTGATTGTGTTAATTAACAGGATGAAACGTAAACAAATATACGCTCAACAAATTACAATCACATCCATCGTCAAAAAGCTTTGCTAAGATAAAATAGTAGATAAATAAATAAAAAGAGTTTTCATGAATACTTGTCGTCTGATGAACAAGATAATTTATCAAGAATTATCGTGGTGCTAAAAAAAGACAAAAGTTTAAAAATATAAATTAGAACTAAAGCTAAGAAAAGGTGAAAAATATAATTAATTAAACTCTTCTTAATATTTAATAATGATGTAATGCAAACAAAAGTAATAGGTAGACGACAAATATACAAATTCTTTAACAAAAACATATTGCTTATGGAACGATGAAGACAATCCCCTAATTAATATATCCAATAATTGAAAGGATAAGAAAATGCTTGATGATGCGCCTTCAACCACATCTACAAACATATCTCTATTAAGTCCACAATTTTATCATATTCCAAATTTATTGAATTGAAAACTACTTATTCCTTTCCAACTATACAGCAATGAGTCACTAAAACCTTCCACTTTGCTCTACCCGCAAATTGCAAGAAATATTGTCTACTAATGTTTATTGAAACAAAATTGTAGCCAAACCATTTTAAAATACTATTATAAACCAAAACATCTCTTGGACATTAAAAAAAAGTATGTTGCATTTCCACCATTTGTTAGATGAACACCTCTTTATAATATTCTTTTAAAGAATTAAATTTTTATCAAAAAATACATCATATTTCACTAGTAGAAATATAATATATATAATCTAATATAATAAATGGGGGATTTTTACTAGAATTCATAAAATAATGATAATATAGACCCATTTTGTAAACATGATAGGGATAAGATTTTTAAAATTTTAATATTTTTTGAAAACAAATTATGAAAATAATATTTTTTAATAAATAATTTTTTTATTTAGAGTCTTTTTACCACATCAGTATTAATTTTGTACTTTACAAGTGCGAAAACTTTATTTTTTTAATAAATTTTGCATACTATAAACTCAAGATATTATGACATGCATGTATTCTAGAAAGTTTTGTCCTTATAATAAACAAAATTATTTAAAAAGAAGAAGATTAAAGACACAAAATTGAGAATGTTGACTTGTTGTTTCTTGTCATCGTAAGTAAAACCAAGAAATAAAAAAAAATTACCTTTGAGATTGATATTTAGTTGTTTAGTGATTAACGATGAAAAAAATCGAGCATTAATGGAACCGAGATTCAGCCTCTATTATTACAGTTTGAGGAGAGAGCATTGTTGTTGGGATTTTTGACATGAGTTCATTGTGCTGATGATATTGCTATGTGGATTAGTGTATTATTGAGGAGAACCTTAAAGCATATTTGGAAGAATATTTTTTGAGAGGAAGGGAGGAGATGGCATATTTTGTATTTTAAATTTAAAAAATTATATATTATTTATGATGATAAATACATTATTAATATATTAAGTTTTTGTTAATATATTTAACTTATATTTTTTATTTTTAAAAAATATTATTTTTAAATATATTTATTTAAAATATAAATTTTACATTCTCCTTTCCTTCTCTCTAAAGCTCTTTTTCTCAAACAACCTCTTCAGATTTCATTATAAAAGGGTATAAGAGGTTATTGTTTCTGAAATCAGCGTTCATGATGTCTACAATGAAGTTGTTTGATTTTATGTAAAAAAAAAAAAGTTTAAATTCATTGATCTATTTTATCTCACTAAAATTAGTGGAAAGAAGTTATATAAGGTATGAAAAAAAAATGCTTTTTAAAACAAAAAAAAATTGAGAAAAAAAAGAGAAAGAGAACCACTTGTTGTTTTTGCACATCACTATACTATCAATTTTTATATTACAACTGTGAATTCATTCACCATTAAATTAAGTTGATATTTTATAACATGTGAACCTTTATTTTGTTTGGTTGGATCGTTAAAAAAATATATGGAGAGAAAAAAATAAAAATCACAATTTTGTACTCTACAACTAGGATTTTTTTCATCTTATTTTTTGTTTGTGAGCATTATAGCTTTGTTTGTTTTGCCTGTTTGTAAGTATGTGCACTCATTAAAGACCTTTTATATCCTTTATTTATCATAGTAGATTATTTTTTGGTCTAGGACGATCTGTAATTTTTACCTTTATCTTGAGTAATTTTTTACGTTAACATTTATTTGTCTCTTGCGTTATTTTATGGTTTTAATTTTATTGGTATTTATCACTGATTCTTGCAAATTTTTGGAAAAATATTTTTTTTCATTGCTTATTGCTCTTTTATTGTATTTATGTTATTATATCGATTCTTCCATCAGTTATAGCAGCAAGTGACAATGGAAATCAAAAGAATGAATAGAGCACTAGAAATATTATTGTACAAGTTTTGAAGATTAAAGGTGGCTACAGGGGAATTGAGAGGAAACAACAAGTCAAGATTGGTATTGGGAGCATGTTTTATTAACGATTTGAATAGTTTTATTTGTCCAAACAACAAAAGTAATATTATTTGTGTTAAAGGTAAAACTAGTTTCATCTTTATTAAAAATAAAATTGGCCCAAATTTTGACATATGTTATAATTTTTTGAATTTTATCTTTACAGTGAGCAAAATTTTAAAAAATATATAAAACTAAATAAATTTTACATCTACAAAATGTGAAATTAATGATGACAAGAAAAAAAATATCTAAATAGAAAAATTATTTTAAAAATATTATTATAATTTTTTTAAAAAATATATTAAAAGTAGATAAGTCATATGATAAGGAAATATTAGGAGAGAGATGGATAAAAATAAAATTTTTGTGTGTGTGTGTGTATATATATATATATATATATGGAAATATTAGGAGAGAGATGGATAAAAATAAAATTTTTGTGTGTGTATTTATATATATATATTTATATATATATATATATATATATATATATATAATAGGATAAGATAAGAAAAAATATTTTTTATTCTATATATTTAATATACATCAAGATAGTAAATTAAATAACATTATGTTATAATTTTTAATGTTGGAAATGAATGAAAAAAATAGAACAAAATATAAATTATATTTAAATAAAAATTTAGTCTTTTTTATCAAAATTAATGTTTTTTTTAAATATTTTTTATTTAAACTTTTTACTTTTCAATATATATATATATATATTAAAATTTAAAAAATAGGTATATATAATATTAAATTTTGATAATCAAGTATAATAATTTTATTTAATTTTTTTATAATTGTAATTTACTTTTATGAAATAAAATGTAATTAAAAAATAATTATAATTTTTTTCTAAATTACTTTTGTTTAAAAAATTATATATTTTTAAAAATATAAAAATTTTAACAATTTTTTATTAAATCTGTTAAATAATGTTTTATAAAAATATTAAAATTATATTTTTAAATAATTATTTTCTTATAAATTATTTGAAAAATTTATAAAATATGAAGATAAATATAATGATAAAAAAAATTATTCTATTTTAATAATTCATAGCCCAACACTCTATTTAAAATAAAAATTTAAGCTGTGATAATAAAATACGATAATTCAGCGAAATAAAATTATAGTATTCAGTTAATTATTACATCAAAATAAGTTATCATATTTTATAATCTTATCAATTTATCAAACAGGCCTTATAGATTTATAAATTTATTAAATTAAAAGGAATGTTTAAATTTCGTATATTTTTACAAAGTAATTTTTCTAAAATTTCTCGCATTACAAATTAAAACTTTTTAAATCACCGAAGACCTAAGTTAAAAACCAATCAATATCGATATATAAGAACGAAATTTCCAGTAGAGTGCTTGTTTAATTTCCTTGGGTCATACACGATAAATAATCTCTAGCTGTGAGGCCTCGTGGGAAAGAGCAAGATATAAGTCTTTTATTACTTTACTATTCGTACAACCGTTGGCCAACGTTGGACATTTGATTTGATTTGTTAACTTGGACTGTCGGCTCATGACTCATCTCGAGAATAATAAAAACAATAATGTTATTTTCATAATATCTTTTATAAGTTTTGTTAATTTTAATTTTTAAAATTGAGTTTAAATATTTATAAATAAAATTTTTTATAAAAAAATATATAATTATTATATTAAAATTATAAAAATATAATAAATATTTTTAAATAAAAGTTTATAATTATTAATTATTAATAGAGCTGAGATTAATAAAATTTATTTTTTATAACAGATATAAATCAAGTGTAAAATATTACAAAATAATATAATTTAAATAAAAAATAAAACCGCCAATGCAATGCAAACGCGTAAAATGAACGACTTTATGGATGATGCAATAATACTCGGAAGAAAAAGAGAACGAGGACATTGTTCAAATGATGTTTTCAGTTCATTTATAAAAAATAATTGTTAATATTTTTATTTTAATTATATTATATAAAAATTTATTTTAAGTATAAATATAAATAAATACACTCATTAATATATATAATATATATTATTTTAACAATTGAATATTATAAATATTTTTAAAATAAAGTATAAACTTACGACACATAACTATATTTTATTAACTTGAATGAATTAAATATTTAATTTCTATAAACAATAATTGCAAGTCTTGATGTAGGACACAAACAAAAGACTCGTACACTTGAGTGCTCCTTAGTCAAAATTATAAATTCTATTCCTGCGGGCAAGTCGCCTTCTCGTTTTATAGCAACTACCCAAAATTTTCATATTCCAAAATCATTCGGTAGAAAAGAAGACAAACCCCAAACTTGCAATAACAAGAAACACCTAAAAACGTTAGTTTCTTCGTTGATTGCAAGAAAAACACACACACTCAAAGGCTAGTCCTAACAACTAATGGGATTCCCTGTAACAGAGACCCTCAAATTTTGGCTATTAGACCACCCTTCCATCGTGTGTTTCCGATGGAGCCCCACCCAATCCTGGGGCTCAACGTGGCCTTTCCTCGTCACTGCCATCGCCGCCTATGTCACCGCCGCACTAACCCTCCACGTCATCCTTAAAATCTGCCGGCGCCGGCGCCCCGTCCCACTTGGCCCCATTCCTGCAATCCACAGCCTCGCCATGTCACTGATCTCCATCACCATATTTTTCGGCATGCTCCTCTCCGCCGGCGCCGAAATCCGCGACACACGGTGGCTGTGGCGGCGCACCAGAAGCACCTCTCTCGAGTGGTTCCTCTGTTTCCCACTCGGAATTCGTCCTTCAGGGCGCGTTTTCTTCTGGTCCTACGTGTTCTACCTCTCTCGCTTCCTCCACCTGCTGCGAACCTTCTTCATGGTTCTCCGGCACCGGACGCTGTCGTTTTTCAGGCTTTTCAACCACTCGATGCTCTTGCTCATGTCGTTTCTGTGGTTGGAGTTTTCGCAGTCGTTTCAAGTTCTGGCCATTCTGTTTTCCACGTTGGTTTACGCCGTTGTGTATGGGTATAGATTTTGGACGGAAATTGGGTTGGCGTGTAAGAGTTTTTCGTTCACCCTTAGTTGTCAAATGGTGCTTTTGGGTTGTAACTTAGTTTGCCATGTTGGGGTTTTGTCCTTGCATTTTATGAGAGGAGGGTGTAATGGAATTGGAGCTTGGGTCTTCAACTCTGTGCTCAATGTTGCCATTCTTTTTCTCTTCTTGAAGTTCTATGTGAACATGTATTGCCAAAAAAAGAATGCCACAAGTGACTCATCTTTGGATCGCGTAGAGGACACTGCCAAACATGCAAGCCTTGTTGCTAGGTAAAAAACAATATTTTTTTTGTCGTTAGTTTAACTTGTTTTGATGAAATAATTGTATAGTAGTTTGTTTTATGAACATTTTAAGAGGATTTTTAAAAAGAGGATTATTTCTTCAAATTTAATCTTTATCAACACATGGTATATTAAGATTTGGATCGCATATGAATAAGGGATGTTATTCCCTTCTGCAATTTTTTAACTTTTCTGAGTTTTGGGGTGTCGAATATCGATTCAGCGTTGGGGTTCTTCCATTGCCCTGTTTAGTTTGATTTGGTCAACTGGTCAACCTTCACCTCTGTCAAATGTTGAGAGAATTTGTATTAACAATAAAGATGTTAAGAAATTTCTCTTCCTTTCCTATCCGACCATCTGAGAAAACTGTTCCAGATATGATCGAAGATGCTACGGATTTGACTGTCTGTTAATTGTTCTTAGACAACTTTCTCACTAGTAACGTTGTTTGTGTACAACTTCTAACTTTTATATGCCCCAACATGCCTTGCTAGGGGATTATGTATCAGTCAGGGTTAGTCGATTTACATCTGTTTCGCTCTCGATTATCCTATCCTTACAATAACTAGTTACGAGTAAATCAATTATAAAATCGAAGGTTAACAAATTTTATGTATTAGTGATCGATTAGACTTTTATTAAATACAAAATTTACATGTTCGTCTGATCTTAAATTAAATAAAACTAATTTTATGTTATCAAATTTATTAAGATGTATAAGTAAATTATTCCAAATTATATTTTTTTATCAAAATATATTTTATATTTGTAAAAATTATCTAAGTATAAAATAAATAAACCCAGCATATATGTGTGGTGAGTGAGTGAGTTCTTCCTTTTCTAAAACTTGAATTGATTATGTATATCTCACTCTTTTTTATTTTTAAAATAATGTTTATTTTTTATACTTATAATTTTTAATAAATTATAATTAATAGCATAGAATGCATCAAAATATATATTAAAAAGTATGTCTCTAATTATTATTAGTTTTTGTTATTAAAAAAAGAAGAGAGATGGGGTGGGGGAGAATTACCCATGCAATTAACATGGATATTTTAATTACCAAATGCAATGAACATGGATATTTTAATTACTACATGCAATTAATATGGATATTTTAATTACTGCATGCGATTAACGTGCAATTTTTTTGGGTCAGAAATTAACGCGCAATTAAAGGTGCAATCTCCCCTCATTTTTTAAAACCCTGGACCCACCAGTAAGGGGAAGCTTAGTCCAATTGTAATAAATTATTTTTTATTCTAAATTGAAACCAATGAGTGATGACAGCGTTATTTGAAGTATTTGATTTGACTTTTGTCCAACCGCTGGTCCAAAAATTAAACTGCGGTGTTGTTAGGTGATAAAATATGAAGGTGCCTTACTCTAAAAGAAAATAAGTTTGATATATGTTATAAAAAGATTTACATTCGTAACTAATGATAAGTACCATTTTATTTAATAAATATGACACTTCATGTTGTTGTGTATTTAATAAAATTTATTTAATAAACCATCTACACAAGTTTCAATATTCAGGTTCTTATTTAAAAATTCACACAAAAACTATAAGAAATTGCATTATAAATGTGGTGAATATGTTGATGACACTCGTCTATAAAAATGTTTCACATTTAAAGATTGATGTTTATGATTTCACTTGTCCATAAATCTGACCCGATTAGAGTTCAATTTTGACAAGACAATATATTTTAAAAACTAATTTGAGTATATTTTTGTTGTCTTAACCCATTTTTTTTATTTTTTTAAAAATATTTTTTAAATTTACGTATTTATGATAATATTATATTTATATTATTTATTTTGAAATTTGTATTACAAAGTATACCTTAATTTTAATTTTACACTTTCTCATATATATATATATATATATATATATCTCCCGTGTCAATAAATTAGGTTGACCTGGTCTTGTCTCGTATATGAATTTGTTCAAGCCTAAACTTCAGGTTAGGTAGGGGATCAAATAAAGTTGTTACAACCCGTTTTGTGTACACCTCTAAACATTAGTTAATATCTCATAATAATAAAAAATGACATCAATAATAAAAATTACATTTAAATATTGTCCATTTGATTAACATAATACTATGTCACAAATACTCTCTTAATTTTAAATTTCTTTTCGAGTATTGATTAAGAAATTAACAAATATGAAATTTTTATTGAAAATCATGTTAAGATTATTAAAATAAAAATGAAACATATTAATGTTTTTTTGATTTCATATTAGATGTCACTTAATATTATTATACACGTGTTAAGAAAATAATTAGTCTTACTACCTACTATGGAACTACACGTTGCTGCATTAACATAACAAGGCACAATTTGTAGAGTGTTTTAGCAATTTTACGGGCTCACAACATTGTGAATGCAAGGTTGAATGTGATGAAAGATAGCAGTAGTGTGTTAGTTTTAGTGGTTTCATTTTAAGGGTGAAGAGTTGGGAACGTGAGATTTAAGGAGAGTCTAGAAATGATGGAGTGAAAGGTGTTAATAGCAGTCCACATGCATGATGTGCTGCTAAAACTGTTGGAATTTCCGTTTAATCAACAATTATTGATGACAAAGGTATCAGTCTTTCAGCATGAGAATGACTTGCTTGCTAACGATTGAGACGGTGGAAAAGGAGAAAGAAGGAGAGTAAAAAAAAAATAACAAAAAGAGGTGATGAATAGAGCAAGTGAACATTGATGGATAGAAAAAGAAAAGAAAAAAAATAATATATATATATATATATATATATAATGTCATTAATAAAAAAAATTATTTAAAATTTAGAGGATCAAACTGTGAATACTCATGTTTTGTTCATAAATTTTTTTTTTATTTTTAAAATTCGGAATTTATTTTATAAACAAAGAATGGAAACAAAATATTTTATGAAAATTAGAATTTGCTTTAATAAATAAGAAAAATTCAGATTTGACTCTAAAAAAGAAATGGAAAAATTGTAAGAATTGAACAAAAAAAATAAGCAAAGTTTTTTAACATGAAAATGGAACTTGAATAAGAAATTTGGCCTTTTCCTAATTCTAAGAGTATAAAAAACAAAGAGAAGTCATCAAATAGGGGGCTGGAAATATTTTAGGGAGGGAGAGATTTTGCTGGAAAAAAATAGAACTGTCAAAATGTGTTAAAGACTAAGCCCTACCTTATTAGCCCCATGTATAGCCTTATATTTTTTTTAAGTTCTATAGTTAGTAAGTTTATATTGGCCTTAAGCTCTAAAATAAAAATAAAAAAAAAAAAGTGGGTTAGAATCAAGGTTAGAAGGGTTAGTCCACTTATTTTATAAAATAAGTAATAACTATTCCATTATTTTTTTATAATATTTATTAAATTATTTTATTGAAATGAAATAAAAATTATATTTAAAATATAAAAAAATATTTTTAAAAATAAAAAAAAATTTATTCAATATAAAAAATTTATCATAAAATAATATCAAATATAATTATATTATAAAATTAAATTTAACTTTTTTATTTGTTTAATTTTATTTATTAAATTTAATATAGTATGTTAATAATTTATTTAATTTTATTAATTAAATTTAACTTGCATGAGAGTAAAGAAGAGTTATGCCAACCTATTCTGCATCAATTATTGAGAAAGTTGTTATATTTTTATGTGATTGAACGACAATCACTTCCATTTCCAAAAGAAAAAACGTGTTATTATCTACAAGCAATCATTATAAAGATCCTATTAATAAAAAAAATTATTGAAATCACACCAGAGTACTTTTTTTTTTTTCAATAACATCTGTTTATCTTTCTTAGAAAATAATCTGAGTTCACAATGATTATTAAAAGTGGTAATTTCTTTAGAAAAAATTGAAATTAAGAATCTTTTTTAAAAAAATATAAAAAAAGGTAAAGATGAATTTATATATTTTAAATTTTTTTTATTAGTTTATTATAAAAAAAAATACACTGCTTTAATTTTTTATTAATTAATTTTATATTTAAATTTTTAATTTATTTAATTTTACATCCTTTAAATTTAAATAATTAAATTAAAAAATATAATAATTAAAATCAATTTTAATAAAATAATATTTCAAAAACTTATTTTAGAATCTTTTATTATTTTTTTTAAAAGTATATTTATCTAAGAACATAAAATAATAAAATTATATAATCTTTATTTTATGATATTTATTTTTTTAGACAAAAGATATCTATTATTTTACAGTTCTTAATTATAAAGGATATTAATTAAAAAATATTTTTTTAAATGCATAATTAAAAATACATGATAAAATTTATATTTAATATTTTTATATAATTTTAAAATATTATACAATTTAATAAATTGATAATATTATATATTATACTTTTAATAAAAAATTTATTTATTAATTTTGTATCATAAACTCTTCAATAAATATTAATGAATTAAAACATTAAAAATATTTATTAAAAATTATGTTAGAAAAATTCAAATTACAGTAAATAATATTCAAGATACATAATATATATATATATATATAATAAAAATGATAACTAATGGTTTTAGTGCGTTTAAAATACCAGTTAAAGAATAAAAAATAAAAAATTTTGTTGAAAGAATATTATTTATATACTTTCTTCTTTTTAATATTTTAACATATTCCAACGTCACTTTTAATAAAAAATAATAATTTTAACTAATATAAGAACACTTAAATGTAAGACTTTTTTAATCATATTTTTTATAATTTTTTAATAATTAATACTTATTTGGTAAATAATATTTAATAAATAACATATTAATTAAGCAAAATTTGTGTTTTCATCTTCTACTTTTAAAAAAATTTCAATTTTATCTTTTAATTTAATTTTATTTTTATCCTTTAAATTTTTGAAATGCTTTAAATAAGTCATTTTATGTTCTATGTTGTTGTTATTGCATTAATAATTAATAATTAATTATGAAATTAAATTTGGGTTAAAAATTTGCAATTGTTAAAATTTTTTGGTCCTTGAAACCTTGACTCTAACCTTGACCCAATGAACTTTTTAGCCCATAAAATTTTTGATTTATGGAGCTTTTTGGCCCACATGGCTTTTTGACCCTAACTCACATGCATTAGGGCTAGAGTTGGGCTAATTGGACTTTTTGATAAAAATATAGAAAAGAGAAAGATAGTGAAAGAAAGGAATAACAAAAGCAAGCAAGAATAGGGTGCAAAATTTTCAAGTAAGTTTTTATCATTATATAAATTTATTTATTTATTTACATATTCCTTCTACTGAATGAGTATTTCATATATCAACTCAACCCTATAATATTTATTTTTATTTTCATTTTTTTTACAAACTGTCGCTGGTTGCCACCTGCAACGGCTAGCCACCACCCTCCACTCCGCATGACCACCACTCCCATGCCTCCATCGGAATTTGGCAACCCACCACTAAAGAGTCTCCTTCCTCTACCATTCTTTCTCTTTTTCTCTCTTCTAAACCATACCACCCAATATCTACCCTTTCTCCAACCATTTTTTCTCCTCCAAACCATAACAAGTACACAAGATCCACCACCTCTCCGTCAATCATTTTTCCTATTCTCTCATTTATCATC